AGCAAGGCTAGCTATGTATGAGACTAGGCTAACAGTACTTCCCCAGAGGAGAACTGTGTGGATAAATACACTGATGAGAGAGAGGGATTGCAGTAAAGCTGCCTATAAATGCATAAAGTACTTAAAGAAGCGCCCTGACCCGTCCCGGTGTTGGGTGAAGTGACTGTGTATGAGGCTGGTTGGTTTGTAAAGGGTTTTGCAACCACTGAGGGATGCAGTTTTACAACTGCAAGCTATGGCTGTGGTTACGGGGGAAAACTGTGGGAACATTTATCCAACTTACAAGCAACAGAAGCAATAGTATTGTAAGTCATGTAACATGCCCCCATTCATAAGGGATTTCAGTTCAGAATTCAAAGGATCCCTTTCTGGATCAAGCAGAGTTGTTCTGGGAATTAACTCATTTATTTCCTCTGCAGCATCGTAGCTCTATTTTACTGTGAAAACTCTGGGTCTTCCCCATCCTTTTATACATTATTCAACGAATTTGATCCCTCGGACAACATGTTAAATAGATCAGTCTTTTTAAATCAAAATATTCAATCTCAACATTTTAACATACACCTATAAATATGTTAGGTACCAAACTTGCGTTGGATTTTTTTATTTTTACATGTGTTAGACATGTCAGAGGTGTATGAAAAAAAAAGTAGTTAGTGTAGGCTCAGATGTACTGCAGGGACAAAAGGGCATAAGAGGGGAAAGGAGCATGCCACGGCTTGCACCTTCCCCATTGGCACTGCCTCGTGTAATGCACGTTGCATTTGTCCTCCCTTTCATCTCTTGCTCTCGTCGTGTTATTTCATCACTTTTCTTCTGCTCTTTGTTCTAATAAGGTTCCCCATATGTTGGCAAGAATCACTGTGGTGTAAATTACACGGTCCTGCTGAGATCCATGATGGTTCTTCAACCTGGAAAGTGGTGCATGTGGGGTTTCCAAAATAATTCTGCTAAAAAATAAAGGCTACTAATGACAATTGTGAACAAGCTGGGTTGATTTTAGGAGGAAGATATTTTCTAGGAAGGTAAATTGTTTAATGAAGCAAACAGTCCAGAATTACAGGGGTGGGAAGGGATGCTAAGCAAGCTGGCAGTGGTGGGAGAGGCTAAAAGAGGACACAGAAGTAATGCGGGTCTGCCTCTACCGAAATCTTTGCTGTACAGTGCTCAAGCCCTAAGTCTTAAAATTCTGCCTGAAGATGTGCAGGCATGCATATATCTGCTGTTGTATGAATGTGAGAGTGAGTCATGACCCTCACTGATTTCATGTCAAAGGGCCTGGAATTTCCTCGCTGGAGGCAGCTGGTTTGAAACTGTTCATTTCCACTTCGTGGCTGCTTTATGTTGCCCGAGTGCGGCAAACAGGACACCCAGTGGCACCACTCAGAATGTCACAGCAGGAGCCAACCACCCTCTGATCCGGGCTGCTCCTGCTTTCCAGGCAACACCCAAGCCCAGCACGTAGAGCTGCTGTGGGGGGGAGACCTCGGACCTGGCACACGGCTGTGTTGCGGGTCTCCAAAACGGGAGCATCCCATTTCTGCTAGGGCTTGAGCTCCGCCTTCTTCTCCTCTCTTTTCCCTGCCTTTCACCTCCCACTGCCACTGCTTTGGTTTTGCCCTTTGATAACTATAAATCAAAGGAGTGTCTCTGATGCTGGGAATGGGGTGAGAGCAGTAGACAGCAATAACCTAAACTTTGCACTCTTTTTTACCTGCAGCTATGTTGCAGCAGTTCTCATTTGCTGGCCTTCCTGTCTCCAGCAGCAGGAAAATGTGCCCTGGACACATCTCTTATTAATAGAGAGTAAGATGCGGTTTGTCTTATCCCAGATAAAATTCAACTACTTCATACTTAGTGATAACTCTAAATGCCAGCTCACTCAGAGGCATTTTGTACAACTCCCCTTTGGTGGGAAAACTCACGGTGTCCACTAAAGCTTTGTGTGTGCAGGATTTGCTTCTCTTACCTTTGCCTAATGCATCAATGCCAGAGAGACACTGATGCCAGCTGACAGGCTGAGGGATGGGTGCTGCTGTGCCCATTTTTTTTTTACATTTTATTGTCTGCAAGCCTGTGCTGGGCCCGGGCCAAAGCTGGTTTGCTTGGGGCTCTAATAACACACCACGTTTCACTCTGCTTTCCAGAAAGAAGAAATGCAATGGCTCTCTCTTTGAACACTGTAAGATTATATCCATAAATATAAGAGCTAATTCCAAGATATATAAATACAAATATTTCAAATAACATAAACATGTTTTAAACTTAAAGGTATTTAGGTTCTTAAATAGGTGACTAAACATATTTAAAATATCACATAACTGTGCAGCTGCTATATATAAGCAGCTGCTTATCAAAGGGGAAACAAGGTTGAAAAATTTTGTTGCTCACAATGTTTTCTGGCCCTGGGAAGACTCTTCTCCCACTTTAAATGTCGTTGTCATCACCCAGGATTCTCAGGGAGAAGTATCTCACATATCAAGAAAGTCAGCTGAAAAGAGCTGTTGTGATTTTTCATGAAAAGTTTCTTGTGACATGCACTGTGTGGAAAACCAAAAGTCACATTTTCCTTTGTCAGTGAGAGGGGGATTGAAAATGAAAAATGAAAAATGTTCCATCAGAAGTGTCCAGGTTTGTCTTTCAGGCATGCCTTCAAAATCTAGGAAATTTTAAGTGAGAGGAAAATGTCTCCATTTTTTTAATGTTTAAAAACCTTTTTTTTCATCCAAAACGATCACTATTTTTCAACTGTTCTTGTATTTCAACTCTATTATCCAGTGACAAAACTATATAATATCTGCTCTTGCTGGTGGCTTTTGCATGTGGCAAGGAATGAATGAACAGCTTGGATAAATAAATGGAGTTGCTTAATAAGACCACTTTTACTGATACTCATGTATACTCATTCTTCTCATTATTTCAGATGAATGCAAACAAGTCACATCTGAGATTTTTTTTGTATGTTCTTAAAGCTCAGAGATACAAGGTACAAGACATTGGAACAAACACAAATTTAAAATGCATGGAGGAACGTGCGTGTATGTTGTTACATTATACAGTGTCATAGAACTCCAAGGAAAAAACTGAAGGAAAAAATTAAGACAAATTTGTCAATATGGGGATGGGAATGAAACTTTAATCTCATTACTAAATTCATCACATCTATTGGCTTATCGCTAAGACTAATTGTCAGAAGAAATTAGCCTTCTCTATAAGCCCAGCTTTCCATGACGCATTTAAATATGTAATGATACTAACTACACTCTTACACACCTGTGTATGAGCTGCTTTAACAGGAAAGGGCTCCCCGGTAATTAACTGTGCTTATACTTTTATTACTATCTCTTAGTTTTTGAGGATATTCATTTTTAGGTAAGCTGTTATGTGAACCAGCTTTACTTGTGTATCTGTAGAAGGAAAAAAGTTCTTTCTCAAAAAATATGCCCATTCTACATATCCACAGGAATTTCACTCTAAGGTACTTTGTACCCTCTTATGCCGGAATGAGGGTAACGGTGCCACTCACATGGCTCGACCTTTTGGTGGTGACACAGCGTCTGGGAGCAGCTGTCGGGGCAGGGCTCAGGCTGGGTAGCCGGACTCCTGGCAGAGGGTGTAAGAACGAAAGCTGTTGCTTTCCCACCCCAAAGCAAAGCAGCTCCATGCACCAGAGGTGCCCAGGCCCCCACCGCCTGCTGCCAGGGGGTGCAGAGGGGGATGCACACCCAACATTTGACCTACACTTTCTGGACACTACCAATGCCTAGTATGCTTTTCCTCCAGCCACACGGCTATGAGCAAATTGTTCCTGGTGGCAAAGTGGCGTACCCCGAAGCTTCATAATGAGGACGGGGAGGCCATCTCTCCCTTTGTAAACTTGTTTGCCACAGTTCAGTGATTGCAAAGGTCAAGTATGCATCAATGACCGCAAAAGCATTCTGATATTATAATCTCCCAGATGCAATAGAAAAATTAAAAAAGAAAACCCACTATGCGTGAAAAACCTCGCAGATATAAACTGGCTTTTCTTTCCTATGTAAGGAGGAAAGTTACCTATAATTCAGTTGTTAGTGCCCACAGAGGAGGTGCAGCTCATGAGATCACGAGTAAAAGTTGGATGCTGGCAGTGCCCCAAGATTACCCATGACTCGTGGCTCCGTTTCAGGTGTTTAAATTACAGTCAATGACCCTGCCCTGCCTGTTCAGAACTGCCAGGCCCAGAAGGGAATCCCGCCCCTCCGGAGATCCGTCCCGGGTTTCCGAAGGGCAAAGATCTGTAACACGCAGTTCGGATTCACGCCGTCCCGCGCTGCTTTGCCGCGGCGCACCTGAGTCTTCCCGGTGTTGCCGCTGCCCCGGGGAGTAGAAAAGGGCTGTAATTTTCCTCAGCTACATGAGAAGTTATTCTTCCACTATTCACTTTCTTCAATTTCAGAAGCAATAGTAGAATCACAAGAAATGATTCAGACAGAAGAAAAGCAATTTTAGTTATTAGCATTTCTCTCCCATTAGAATTTCCCCTTTGGCCTTACCAGACTTCTAAGATAACAACGGGATTTCTACCTACACCTTTGCCTAGCAACGCCCGAAGTTTATACTTCATGCTGTTAAGTTAATATTAAATTGTAAGCATTTAATTCTTAAATAACATCTCTAAAACAACAGCTAAAAAAGTGATGCGAATATACCTCCAGTATATTTATTGGCTGTTATAATTACTTGATTTTTACTCATACAATATTATATAAAAATTGCACTTGTTTATATCACATCACAAAGCTGGCAGCTGTCAACTGCTTCAGAATAGGATCTGGCAGAGATCTATACCTTGGAGATGTCACGTGTATGAAAGAATATCTGAAAGATGTCTTCCTACTTAGGGTTTTAATCCGAAAGTTAGCCCCCCCCCCCTTTTTTTTTTTTCCTTTCTTTTCTTTTTCTCTTTTTTTCCCCCCTTCCCTCCCCGGGCTGGAAGCGGGATCCGCGTCCCTGCCACTGCTATGCCAACGGAACTCTGCCGGGCCGTGAGAATGCACGCCATCTCCGACCTCCACTCCTCCCTCACCCTGCGACTCCTCAACAAGGGGCCCGAGTACCTCCGCAGGCAGATGGAGGCGGGCAGCCCGGGCAGGAAAAGTGCCGTGGAGAGGCTGGCAGCCGGCAAGGCCCAGAACGTAAAAAGCCGGCAGGTAATCGGCACCACGCAGGAGCCCGTCATCGCGCTGAGCTCGGCCTCGGAGAGCAGCAGCGAGACCTGCTCCGTGGAGAGCAAGATCAGCAGGGACTTTGGCAGAGGGGAGGGCGCGAAGCCCCTGGAGCTGGCGAAGGCGGTGTACTCCTGCCGTGCCCCCCTGCAGCACGGCCCCCCCATAGCCAGGCGCAGCACCCCCAAGAGGCAGATGCGGCCGGATTCCCTGGTGATTTACCGCCAGAAATGCGAGTTTGGGAGAGGTCAAAGCCAGGACAACTCACGGGGGAGCTTGGTGAGGAGGATCTTCCACGGGTCTGTAAAGGAGAAGCAATTGGCTTCCCCTGCGATGCCCAGAGTCATGGAGGACGCCACAGCCACCGAGAGCAAAGAGCCTCTCTCAGCGAAACACGGTGACCACGAGCCAAGCGACCGTGGAGCTGAGCAAACCATCACCGTGAGCACCGAAGCCCCAGGGGTATGTACAAAAGAGCATGAGAGACCCTCAAAACCGAGTGTACCTCCTGAGGAGGTCAAGGAGGTGAGGAGGAGAGGTCTCCATCGCTCCCAGTCGGACATCAGCTCTCGCTACTCCAAGTCCTTCTCTGAGTTTGATACATTTTTCAAGTACTGTGGCCTGGAGCAGGAGGTCATCGAGGATCTTGGGAGAGAGAACTTCTCCGTGGTGTCCGACAACATCTCCTTCAAGATCCGCAGCATCAGCATGGCAACGTCCGAGAGCGACTTCACGAGGCACAGCGGGGACGAGGGGCTGCTGGAGGACGAGCTCACAGAGCAGGTCCCGAGCAGCACCTCCGTGATCGAGCGCAACGCTCGGATTATCAAATGGCTGTACACGTGTAAGAAAGCCAAGGAGACTAACAAGGTGACCCAGGAACTGGCATGATGGCTTCTTTCAGCGTGCATTGCAGCCTGGTGAACTCAAGGTGTGTGCAAAGCCCCGCTCTGTTGATTTATGTATTTCTCTTTGCTCTTTAGCAAGCGGTTGACTTTTCTTAGTTTGAGTCCTTTCATGAAGGGCAGAAGGAAAACATGTTTTGTGTACTACGTGTTCTGGTACGGCCTTTTTGCAAAGCAGAAATCTGTGTCGTTACAAAACCCAAAATACAAACAAATAAATGTGTGCAGCTTGCCCAATTTAGATCAGACCCCCCACATGAAATTGAAGAGCCCGTGTCTATGAGGGATGTCTGTCCTTTGCAGATTCCTGCTTTGTAAATAGCTTCTCTATTTTCTGCTGTATTAAATGCTAGAAAAAAACTTAGAAAAGTATTCAACCCTTACAGTTGCTTAGATAACAGACTGAACTGAAACTATTACTAATTAGGACTACACTGTATTTATACTATACTGGCTGAAACTATTACTAATTAGGAGTACACTAGTTTTATACTATACTGCTACAGTTTTCCCCTCCTTACTCTCTCCCTTCCCCTTATGCATATGCACCCCCAAGTATCAGGAAAGCAAAGCTGAGTCAGTGCTTCTGGCAATCTTATTTTCCCCACAGCTTTCTGTTGGGACCAGAAGAGTTTGCTCCAGGTGACCCCCCTAGCATTTCACAGGCTTGAGGTTCTCTGTTCTGTTTGACTCTGGTGGATTCGGCTCTTCCAAAGTGGGTTTTGCCGTGCAGTTTGGCACCAGCAGCTGGAAGTCAGCTGTGCGGTTTGCCTTGGTTTGAGGGGTACTTCACTGTTTTAAACTAAAGATAATTAACACAAATGTGTGGCGTCTAGGCTTGGAAATCAATTCCTCCACAGACAGAAACACAACAAATTTAGCTCTGGTAAAAGCCGATATCCTGGTTTTAATAAAAGCTGTGTTTATTTTGCATCTGATCTCCTGAAAAAGAACTATATTCGTGGGGCCTTCAGTAGTTTTTTCTCCTTCCAGTACATGAAGCCCTTAGGATAAGTACCACAGCTTGCAGTGTGGTATTTAAAAATTGCATGAGCAGATCTTGGTATGAAGGATTACATGTATATTTTCTGACAGTTCGTAATTGGTGCATGAGAGGAACATAATTCAGTATAGATACAGCTGTTGATAGAGAGCATGGGCCTTATGGACGTGGAGAAATGTAGTGCTTAAGCCTCTTTCCTACATAGATGTGGGGCAGACACTTCCAATTCCTGGAATCTATATAATGCAAAAATCCATTTACTTGCTTGAAATTGGTTTTAATTATGTGAAATTTGGATCACTTTTAAAATTTGGATTTTTCTCAAAAGCCTATTTTCTTCCTGCGAGTTGAGGGAGGAGGAAGCCAGGTATCCAGCCGACAAATTAAAGAAGTGTTGTTATATGACAGATCCTTTCCCAAATTACCTTAGAGAGAAGAAAGGGCTCTCCTGAGCTATTCATTCTCCTTGCTCATCCTTCTGTGATAAAAGGCAAAACAAAATGATGCAGATGGTGGGTTGTGAAGCTTGTTGCAGCTGCTGGCCTTGCTAAATGCAGAGGATGGGAGACAGATTTCACTGCAAGCAGGAGCCACGTAACAAAACCAACCACATTTCCATGAAGGAAGACAAAATAGAGGCCTATTTGCTCCTGAATGCCCTTGCTGGGGGTAGAGTCCAGAGCCAGAACTGCAATCATCACCACGGAGCCTGCTCAGGCCCTCTCCCCATCCATTTGCATGGTGCTAAGCCTGTCCAGCGCCGCAGTGAGACAGGGGATGCTGGCGACAGCCCCAGGGAGCATGCACTCAGCAGAGGCGAAGGGCCAGAGGTGCTTCACCAGGGCAAAGACACAGGCAGGAGGGGGGAAGCTCTTTTCCAGGGGCTGAGCCAGTGTAACCTCGTATGGGCTTGGTCAATGTCTTTTTTTTTTTGAACATCTGAGATGAAACGACAGTTCATAGCACATAGCCTAACAGGGCGGTGAAGAGACCTCCGTGAAGTAAACAGCCAGTTTATTCAAGTATATGGTCATGCTGCAATAATTTTAACACCTGCAACAAGGGAGTGCTTTACCCTGGCAGCAATTTCCTTTGTTACCAAAACTTTTTGGCAGTCTAGGAAACACTAATCCATAGGGTCCATATTATAAACCTAATTTTAAACGTACTAGGGCTGACTCTCAGCTGATAGACCTCAGCAGTAGGGATGTGATTGTTTCCAGCGTGATTTGTGAAAACTAAGAATGTACTTACCATTTAGGCCACAGACCCAGAAGGTTCAGAAAGGTCAGCTAAAAATACCTGTACACGACACCCAGAATAAAGGACAAGAGTCATCAAAGGCTACCATAAGTTAAATATTACATTTACTGGGCAGAATTCAAGCTGAGGGTTGTTATCACCACGTGATCACAAGATCAGTCCTGTAGTTCTGATCAAATGTTCATCTTCCAGTTCTGTGCTTTCTCTGGCAATGCAGCATCAAGTTAGAGACCTATGTATTTTCACTTTACCCATGTATTTGGCTCTGTTTAATTTGCTTACCGGTTATTAATGGGCAGCGGACTCCCATGTGCCAAGGGAAACCGGCTGCATGGGGGAGCGACGTGCTCTCCCTGGTGCTCCCAAGCATGTCCTTGAAGGCACCTCGTTTTATGCAGAGGCTTGAAAATTGTTGCACCTTCTTTGGAAAAAGAGGCAGAAACATGTTTTCTAAAATCCAGCAGTCATTACATGTAAAACGCCTTTCAAGAACTGCAGGGCTTTTATGGGCTGGTGATCATCCCATTCATATTTTATGTTCTCTGTTTAATTTTTCATGAGCTCTCCAGGACCTGGTGGGGCAGCGATTAAGTAAAACAGCTATTTGCAGGATCGGGTTCCCTAACATGTTTCATCAGAGCAATGATTGCAGAGTCTGAGCTTGGTTGTAAGCTTCAGAAAAATGAGGTCTCCAGCGAGATGAGCCTTGCTACTTCATGGTGGGATGTTGCCTGGATTCACCCCTGCAGTTCAGCTCCTCTCACTGTCAGTCCTGCTTGACGGGCGTTTGCTCTGCATCCTCCTTCCTGGTTTGAATCAAGGTTATTCAGCCTTGAGTTTCAGCACCATTCTTAAATGGATGTTCATTATTCAAGTGGAAATCTCCTGGCAGGGGAATTTACTATGTTGGCAATAGCCATAAGCAGCTGAATAAAAGCTTTAGAGTATCACCTTATGCTTGCCTGATATGATAAATAATAAATGACACTTTTTTTTCTTCTTTCATCAGAATCCTTGACTTGGAGGTTGAACAGAACCAGACACAGGGAGAAACTCTTCCCTCATCTGGCTCACGACTACTTTGTCCAAGTTTAGTATTTTATTATTGCCTCCTACCCTCGCCCCCGTCCCCTGGCAGCCTCACTTTTGCCACAGGCGCTGGGGTGTCCGAGAGCATGATGACAAGCGGAGGTTGTGAACTGTTCCCCAGCAAGGCAGTGGGAAACAACAGCTCCTGGAAAAGCGAAGCATGGCAGCAGCTGCCATTCACGGTGATACTCAGCATCAGCTCAGCACCCCAGGATGACACTCCGGGCTGTGACAGAAGGTCTGTGTTGTGCACCCATCTCTTTCCATCAATGAATTCATCGGCAGAGATGGGGGGAGAAAGTGGGAATGAAGTGGCAATGACCGCTGGGTTGGGCACTTCCATGCAGGCAGACAGGCTCCACCTGGACCTTCAAAGGCTCTGCCTTACTAGGGCTGTTTGACCAGGGCTCATCCTGATTAGATGTTATTTGCTTGGCTGGTGAAGACTAACTGTGGCAGCTTTATCTGGGATACTTGGCAAACATGTTGTAAGCTAAATCCTTGCCAAGCTTCTCTTTCTCTGAGAGTATTCAAGCCAAATTGGAGTACCTTGTATCCATCTAGTTTGCTTTGTCACACAGCTTGCTCAACCAGTGGGGAGGAATACCCCTTAAAACCCTGCCCGAAATCTTTTCCAAGAAACAGGTAGTCAAAAATGAGAGAGGGTTTTGCGTTGTTACTGCCTTGCTGCAGAACGGTACAGTTCACATGTACATAGGCTCCTCCACCTTGTTTGCAGTACGTCTCCAACTCTGTCTCCAATTGCAAACATTGCAGTGTTTGGCAGCTTGTGGTTTAACACCTTTAATTTTATGCACTGTGAGTGAGCAGCGGGCTTACAGAATGACATTAGGAAACTATCCCAGGATATGCAAGGCCACAATTTGCTAGCGTGAGTCTGGAGTAGGGCTGTGCTTGGGATGCACAGGACGGCATCCCTGCGCTGCAAAGCAAGAAGGCATGGTAGGGCACAGGTGAGACATCCTGTGTAGACAGCACCTTACTCAATATCATTAATAAAATGCTTCATTTGGACTGACCAAACTAAACATGTTTTAAAAGCTGATAAAAAGTACTTTAGATGATAAGTGTAGTGAATGGGGCCTCTACAATAACTCATGGAATTTCCTGGCTGTGCATCAAATACTTCCCAATCTGTCATTGCTTGCTAGAAAATGTCTTGCACCAAAGCATGTATTTGTGGACATTGCAAACCACAAAAAATCCAAGAACCCCCCCAGTCAAAGCCAAAGCCAGTTCCCTTTCAGTCGCACCAATGCCCATCTGTGAGAGCTGCCCTGCTGGCGTAACAGTGACTCAACATGAGGGCCCTGCAGAGGTTAGAAGTTTACTTTGTGTTACCATGGATGTGGTGTCCAGCTAACCTGGCCTCCAGACCTGCAGTGTGAGGAGTCCAGAAACACCAGCTTTCATTCTCCGCATTCCTCCTGCCTGCACCGCAACAGCTCCTGCCGCTGCCTCTCCTGGCCCAAAACAGCTGCCAGCACAGCTGGGCGGATGCTGAGCTCAAGTAAGCACTCGAGCTGCGTTTCTCAAGAGCTTGCTACTCTCAGTAAATACATCTGGAGGAGTGGCAACTAGGCAGGGATTAAATAAAACATTTGTGGTAG